CTAATCTGAAGACTTAGTTGTGGATAACCAGAGCCTCTGGTTGTATAGACTAGAGCCTCTGAACACGAAATGTTTAGGACCAGAGCCCCTCTGGTTGACCAGAGCTCCTCTGGACGCTTAGTGTTCATACCTTGAGTTCAGATTTTTGCTAGCTCTGAACGAGAGGAAGTCTAAAGAAAGAAAGTCTAATGACCTTGATTTCGGAGTTATTCTAACTTTGAATGATAGGATAATGTTGATCATGTATCTTGTTATTAGCAATTGAGATTATCTTTCCTATATTATAGGATTCAGTTTCTTTGTTTAGCTTATCTTAATTCATTATATAGATAGTTTTACTTTTCAATAATTGCAATCGTTTGAATCATTATTCATTCAAGTATTGTAAGCAGATTGCTCTGCGTTCTTTACATTCAATAACAGATCAAAACCTTTGACTGCTAATACTCTTTATTCTTACACTGTTCTTAATATTCTTGATATATGGGCACTTTTAGTTTCTGAATCTTTAAATCACAAAGAAATAAGGATTCAAAGCCATTGTAATTTTAAAGATTATAATAGTAAGGGTTATATCATATAACACATACATAAATGCCACCCTTATATCCAAAGGTACACCTCTCCTTGATATGCCACCCTTATCCCAAAATACATCTCTCCTTGATATTCCACCATTATCCCAAAGTACATCTCTCATTAGTATGCCACCTTTATTTCCTCGTCAAAATTTACAGATTATTCCCGAACTTCATCTCCGGTCAAGTCTTGGCCGGTGTAACAAACCGGACAACATATTTATTTGTCCGATTTATAAATCCGGACAACATTAAATCAAACCTGATCAAGCTTGTCCGGTTTACATATACAACATTTTTCTAACACTTTTCAAATCCAATCTTCACTCATTCGGATTACATAATTCCGTTCAAAGCCTTGATCGGTTTATGGTTAAAGTGGACAATATTACAATCGTTTATATTTAATCCGAACAACCTTTGATCGTATCCCTACTTCTTTGTTTAAAACATTTATCCGGTTTAGAAAGATAGAATCGCATCAACATATTAATCCGATCAATACTATGATCGATTTCCTCTAAATCGGATAACACTATGTCCGATTTATACCAAATCCGGACAACATATGTCCGATATAACCAAGTACAGGTGTTAGTTCATAACACAATTCAGTATTCAAACCATGAGAAATTGCTTTTCAATATATGATGAATCAAATTACTCACCTTCAAAATTAGCAAAAGAAATCACTTGATTCCAGTCCAATTTGAGCAATCCGATCAATCTCCCTTTTTAAAACTATTTCTCAGTTTTCAATATGTTCAAGAGGCTTTTATGAAGAGCCTTCCCTTTATTTATATTCTTACTAAAAATAGAATGGCGGTTAGACCGCCCCTTGCATGTATACCCATGTATATCATACTTATGCATGAACCCCACACCATGCATTTCTTATAAGCATATAAAATACTACATGCATACATACTTTCTCATGCAATCATCTCCATCATATTGATGCATATATATAATATCATGCATGCATCTTTATGCATATTAAAACTCATGCATACTAACACATTTTAGTCATGCATATTCACATTTTGCATACACATTTATGTATAAAAACACACATACTTGAATGATCAAGTATATCAATTTATCATGCTTTCACACAATCATATAACAAATAATCACGTATTAATTACCTCAAGTGGATAACCAAGATCAGGTTATCACAGATTCCACATCCCAAGGGGAGCAAAGGGAAGAAGATTCAGTGTCTGAAAGGAACTAGGGCCCTTCGTTGAAAAGCAAAGGTGTCGCTGAAGAGGGGAATTTAAAGAAGCTGAGCACGAGAAAAGCCTGAAGCTGGCTGAGCGGGACAAGCGCTGGAGCGAAGCAAGCATGAACAAGAGAATCAGTCCTCACCGAATCAAGAGTGTCAGCATCAACGGACGATTAAAAGATGGTGGGATTCTGCTCTCAATACTCATCACCAGGGACAATCTCGATGTCGTGACTGAGTACCCCTCCTATCTATGCGAGTATGGCTACAGCGAATGGCTGGAAATCAGACAAGCCATTCAACGCTCCAAATCCAGACATAAGCCGATTATCGAATATATCATTAACGAGCTGATCAAGAAGGTGTCAAGATATGTCGCAGTCCCTGAAAGGCCAACGTTGAAGAAATGAGGTGGGAAGAAAAGACCTTCTAGTCCTAATGATGGACCATCCCTGAGGAACGAACATGAAACAAAGTTCTCCTTAGATGATGTCCTGAAGGATTATGAGGGTCCAGACATCTCTATGTTGAATCTTGCATTGCCAACGAAGGGTTCTTATATACTCAACACTGTGCACTTCAAACCTGAGTTAGGACTTATATTCCTTGACCATGATGGTGAAGTAAGATTTCAGAGAATGTCTGAGTTACATCTATGCCCCATGGAACACCTGGTTTATCTCAGATTCTGGCTAGATGATGACATGAAAGGTGTATTGGTGGACCAAAAGATAAAAATGGAATTTCTACGTCGAAAGAAGCTTGGAGAAGATGTACCTGGTTACATAAATCTGAACAACTTAGACTAGTTTATTTCCTTTGTAATATTGTCCATGCACTGTAAAATTTTTACTATATCTACTTTCAGTGATTATTCTTATATTCTGTAAGTTTAGACAAGTACTGAAACTCTTGTAATATCTCCTTTGAAATTTATATAAGTGTTTTTGTGCATCACTAAAAAAGATCCCTGAAAAAAGTAATAGGGACACAAGTCTATGAGTTCCAATGTTACTATTACATTCACTGACAATCTATAAGTCAGTGAATAAGCTTTCAGTTTTAGTTTCCCTTCTTGTAATTTTTCTTAGACTTAAACTTAAGAAATTTTTCTAAGTAAAGACTGACTCACTGAAAAAGATTCCAAAATAGTTAAAAGGGACATGTACTTTACATGTAACTTTTCCTTACTATTATTTGATAAGACAACTTTCTTTACGTTGTCTTGTTGCATCAAATAGGGGGAGATTGTGTATCCTCTCTCTCAGTGATTTGATGATAATCTCTTTTACCTTATACGAAGTATTTTATGTTTTTGTCTTTCAGCTTCAGCGATCATCACTGAGTTTGTTCAGTGATCGTTGAGAACATGCATTGTAAATCCATCAGTGACATCGATACTTCAAGAAGACAAAACTCACACCAAAGAACCTTCAGCGAAAGTCGAAGACTGAAACTGAAGATTAGAGACTGGCGGGTACGTGATCTGAAGCGGTATTCAGTGGTTACAACCTAGTCTACACATGTGTGAAGACTGCCCAAACCTCAGCGAATGCTGAAGAGACCTTCAGTTTATTCTAGCATTCAGCGATCAAAAGAAGCTTGTTGAGCACGATTGTTTTTGTCTTGTCCTTATACACACAAAGGACAAACCCATACCCTTTCTATAGTATAGTACGGTACGGAGCCGATTAGTTGACTCTACTACCCACCAACTTTGTGAAAGGATGTCTGCTCATGAATAGGCTTTTCTACTATTCACTGTAGCAAAGGACAAGTCTTTCTCTAAAGGCTTGACACGTGTTCTAACCCTACTACGTTGCATTATAAATACATATGTTCCATCTCCATGTAGAGATACTGATACTTACTCTTTAACCCTAACTTACGTTCATAAGTAAAAGAACACACATCTAAGAACACAATACGCTTATCTTCAAAAGCAAGTTAGAATCCCTTTTTGTATTCTAAAATAGTTCTTACCCAGAAAGAACTAACATCCTTCTAAGTCTTTTACAACAAATCTTTTCTCTATTTGCTAAGAACTAGTGTGTAACTTTAGATTGTTTAGATAGGTTTATTTACTTTATCTTTCCGCAAACAATCTTGTAAAATTTGTATTGATCATTCTTTATCAATATATTTTAAATTTGAAAAGTTTACTGTGTTTGTATTCATCATCCCCCCTTCTACAAACTGTTATACACATCTTGTAGACCCTAACGGGACCAATAGTTCTCAAATGGAGAAATTAACCCAAGACCTCTATTTATAGGATCCATTTACAATAGAGTGAGCCCAATCCCATTTACCTCCTAAAATCCAAAAATACAATTACAAAGACATTTTTTTTCTTCTACAATTGTTTTTAATTGACTTTATTAAGCTTCCACTAACTTGGGCCTATTTAGCTCACACACTTTCCTTTTATAGGCTACAAATAAAGATTCATGTTTAGTTCATTAAAACTTTTGAATAAACTTTCTCTTACACTTTGTACTTATGGTTATTACGATCAATCTTTCAAGGGTAATTTTGATCTTCAATCAATACATATGATGACGATGGTGATTCAATCATATTAGTCATATTCTTACTATTCCTCATCATTAATTGTTATACCTTGTTTTAGATCTTATTTATTTCCACTTAATACATCATTGATAAGATCCAATTGAGAAATCTGGAACCAACAACATATAAAAAAGAGAATAAAAAACAAGAAATCTATAAGGGAGATCAATTATAGGGCCTAATGGCTATGATGGCCAGTGACAGAGAGCGGATGAAGATGGGATGGCGATGACCAAGGGGGAGTAATGCAGTTTTTTGTGAAAGGTTTAAATCACATGTGGTGAGAAACAGTAAAATTGTTTTAAATTTTATACACTTTAAAACATTTTTTGCCAGTTACATGTATTTTTTTAGGTTAAACTTATGCAGATGTCCAATTTCTAAAAGTTTGATGGTTTGTTTATTCAAAAAAATACGTTCAAGGATTTGATAATTCAAAATGAGAAAGTTCAATGGTTTTTGAATTCAAAGAAAAGTTTAGAAACTTAATCATTCAAAATGAAAAAATTCGTTAAATCTGAACTTTCCCTTTGTTAATTGGAATGAAGGAATTGAAGAGACCGATTTATGTACATTATGAACTAATGGTAGTACTCAAATAGAATTTTGATAACTATGTATTTGCCCATGAAAACATTATTTTATTTGAATTGTTAATTTTGGGTCAATGATTACTCGACAACATTAATTATCCTAAAATATCGTCAAAACTAAACAAAGTGACACGTTTGAAGGGAAGTATTGTTCTACTTCTTTCTCTTCTTCGGGGGTTGTAGTGCTTCTTCCTCGTCTTCTTCCTCTTCTTCGTTCTTATCCTCCTCATCTTCTTCACCATCATCATCATCATCAACATCGTCATCATCGTCATCACCATTATTATTATCACCATCTTCATCATTGTCATCATCATCGTCGTCATCTTCCTCCTGGTCTTCACCTTTCTCTTCTTCTCCATCCCCACTTGCACCTCCCGTGATGTCTTTCTTCGAGTTGTTATCCTTGTTATTACGATTGCTTGCTCCATCATCAGAATCAGGATCCTGCTCCCCTTCTTCAAACTCACCGTCCTTATCATCATCGTCATCATCATCGTCATCATCATCGTCAACTTCACAAGGCTTGGAATGACGTGTTGTTTGATGGTCTCCTTTAACCCTAGGGTTTTCGACTAACAACCAAGGAGAATCCTGAACAATTGCATTTATATCCATTTTATAATTTGTATATACCTTATTTCAGTTCATTAAAAAATAAGTTGCAATAACACAAAGTTTTCAAGTCATCAACAATATTTATCTGAGTTTTCATCACAAATAACAACTCACTTTCTCAACCTACATACATATCTTTAGAATATCATAAAATTTTATTTAGTTTTTTTTATAATTTAATACTATATAGGTACTAATTTTTCTAAAGCAACTACATAAATCAACAGATTTGGTAGGAGATTAAGCTTTTATAAAAATATATAAAAAAATGTTGGGTTGATTTTTTAGGTTTTGGTTGATGGTACATCCCTTTCGGTATAAACAAGTGGCTAAGAAAGTCGAATCGATTTTGGAATATTCGCTGCCTATGGAATATTCGCTGCCTAGTTTAGTATCTGTATAATTTAGTCAGATGTGTAATTTTATAGTAAAACAAAACAAAAAAACTAATGCATTTTTCATTAAAATATCTGAAACTTATAAAATATTTTGACGCATTAATATAATTCAAACGCTTGTGTTCTATTTAAGTATAATTATCATTTAGTTTATGTAGTACAAACATAAAATTTAACAAGTAAATTAAGTAATAATAGAGTTATAAACATAAATTCTAAAATATAAATAAAAATAAATTATTGTATAATGATCTAAGACAAATAGAACACTATTTCTCGTGAATAGTTTGCAGATTTCCTTCTTATAATAAATTGTTCAAAACCTAAAATTAAAATCTGTATTATTTAATTTGTAATTTAACGAGGTATTTTATCATTCATGATTAAATATAATAAGTACATTTGAAAACAAAAGTTTATTAGCCAAACTCAATAACATTAAATCTATAAAAGTGAACTAAAATCTGGTGAAGAAAATGGTGGTGGTTTTTTTTGATAAATTTATGCTGAAAATTGTAATGTTTTTATTTTATTGCAAAATAACCAAGAGAATACAAAACTTACATGAAAATCATTGATAGATGATGAAAATCTAATGTCTACACCAGTCTTTTTCACTCCAAAGAAAGATATAATGAATAAAAAATGCGTATCTTAACAACACATGCAATAGTTACAAAAATATTTATGTTAGCATTGAGAAAATTTTGGCGTAATTTAGGAAGTCCAAAGCTAAACGAACCTGACTGAGAGCGAAAAACTGGAGTCTAAGCAACACAGACACCAGAAGAGTAGCTACAACCTCACCAGCGTATAATAGCAGGCCATGGTTGATAATACTACGATTCGTTTCCATTTCGTAACAGGTAGGATCACGATGCTTAGCAACACCCCTAAACACACAACATAAGTTTGTCAGAAAAAATTTCAACGAACGAAGAATAGCAAACTTTGAAAAACTGAATGAAGAACGACTAACTATGAATATATGAAGGGAAACTTTGATATAAAGGTTTTGAATCAACACGAGAGCCGCAACATTAACATGGACAAACTTTAAATGAAGCTTAAATTATGGAAAAAACTACCTAAATTTTGTCATATTCACTTTGAATTGAGTGAAATTTGAGAAGAGAAACTTACAAAACGGGAAGATCTAGAGATGGATGAAGCAGATCTGAAAGCTTGAGAAGCTAAAGCCTCAGGTAAGAGATACTAGAGGTAACGTTCATTGTCGACCGTCCGATGAAGATCGTCGAATATCGTGAGATAGTTGTAGATATAATCAAAGAGGGGGGGGAGGGAGAGAGAGGGGAGGAGAAGGTGAGTTTGGGGTGTGGTGTTACTGAGAACCTGCCCGTAATATCTTCATAGGGTCTTGGGCAGTTCGGGCAAGAGGTATTTTCATGTTATTTAATGTACAACCAAATTCCCAAGTATTAAACAATCAAATATTAAGTTACACTTTTTTTTGCCTACACTTACTTATTTAGTTTGCTTATATACTCTTACTTTTTAATTTTCATTTAATACCTCATCATATTAACATATATAAATAATATATTAATTAAAATATATCAAAAATATATTTATCTTTTTATAAATTATATTATTATATTTGTTTCGTCAATACTTATAAAATAAACTTAATATTAAATATTTTTATATTTAATCATATTATTAAATATCATCAATGCATACGAATTATTTTTAATACCGACACTTATTACCCTCGAAGTTACAAACTAAACAAATAACTATAAGAGTACAAAGTATAAGTCTAAAAAATAATTATTACACATCAATGATATTTATTAAAATGATTAAATAAAAAAATATTCAATATTGAGTTCATTTTAAAGATATTGACGAGATAATTATAATGATATACTTTGTAAAAACATAAACATATTTTTCTAACGAAATTTAAATAATATAAGATGACGTATGCTAATATGATAATGGTATAAAATAAAAAAGTAACGATATAAAGTAATTTATTTAATTAATTATAAGAATATAAAATATAATTAAATAACTATTTTTACGTAAATGGTTTATGCAAATTGCATAAATTTCATCTTTTTCTTTTTACTTTTTAAATAAGAAAAAGGTGGTTTTGCAAATACGCATGAACCATTTATATAAATTGTGACTATTTTGAGAATTTGGTTTAAAAATAGTATAAAGTAAATTCATTTGATTTAATAGGCTATTTCTATCAATTTTCTTAAATGAGAGAGAGAGAGATAGAGATGTGGAGCTTCGTTTGAGGATGTGGTATTATAGAAAACCTACTCGTAATATCTTCATAAGGTCTTGGGCAATTTACACGAAAGGTATTTTTTAATATATCGTGCAACCAAACTAAATAGTAGGTTTATAGATTTTGTTTATTGACTTTTATTTGCATTTGTGCATTGTTGATTTTTAACGTTTGGGTTTGTGAGTCGTTAATGTTAACCGAAATTTGTTTAAAAATGTCACGTGTTTGACCCATTGGTTTACAACAAGTGTATTTTTGTTTTTGTTTTTTTTAACTTTTTCTAAATTTTTATCTCAAAAATATAACCCATAACAATTTTATATATGTAAGCAATTTCTAGAAACCCTAAAAAAGTTTATGACCCCGACAAATTATCAGAAGCAAAGATGATAATCTATGTGTATGTTGTTTTCATCTTCTTAAAGAATGGTGAATATCTTCGCATCTTATTGAGACAAAACACATCAAAACAAGCGGTAGCAACACAAAGCAACCGATATTAGAAAAGACGAAAAGTCAACAATAACCTTAGTGAAAATGGTTAATGGTCACCCACAATACCACCTCCATAGTCTCGGTTGAGTCCATTATTGAATCCTTCATTAAAGATGACGAGCATTCTTAAAGAGAAAGTTTGTATTTCATTGAGTCCTCAGACATTCCTAAAGATAATAAAGATGAGTTTGAAGGACCAAAACATTAAAAATTGATTATTTTTCGATCAAAAGTGCTAAAAACATTATCAATACATTACAATTGCATATTAAAATATCATCAAAAGAACGATATTTATAGTTTACTCAAAAGAAATAAAACTCTGCCATGAAGTTTAACTTTTGTGTTATTAGATGTGAGGCATAACTTTGCCACCCTCTGGCTTTTGCACAATAAAACTATATTGTACCAAGTCAAAAATGTTACATTATTTATAATGAAAAAGTTTATTTTTCTATTATTAACTGAGAAAGTAAATATGAAAATTTGACAGTTTTATTCTACTGATACAATAATTTGTCTCGTTTGTTATTTTGTGGAAAGCATGCAAGAGGGTTTTGATTATTCCACTTTTATTGTAAATTAATTTAAAACAGTCTAAGGGGTCGTTTACCCAAATGCCTACCTGATAAGTGCTTATCGATAAGAGTCAACACTATAATTTATTTTAACAGGTAAGATTGTAGTATATTAAAACGATACTGTATGCAACAATGTACCTAGTAAATGCTTACCCGCATAAGAGTCCCTACCATCACTTATCGGGTAAGACTCTATATCCTTATCATCGTTTTTACCGGGTAAGATTTTCGGCCCATGCCATGTGCACCAGGTGAGGAAAATTACCCGATCAACACTTACCGGATAAGTGTTCAGTAAACGGCCCCTAAATCTTATTTAAGAATGCTAACATGAGAATTTTTTTAATCGGAGGGGCAGGAGACATAAAGAACCTTTATAGAGTTCTTTTTGAAGTGGAGAACAAAGGAATTTGCATCTACCTTTTCTAAGTGCAATGACAAAGTGAGGATAGAGTTCTTGTATATTTTGAAGGATACGGATGAATATATGATTAACAATCAGATATTTTTATTAAATTAAGTAACGCATCTACCTTTTCTAAGTGCAATGACAAAGTGAGGATAGAGTTCTTGTATATTTTGAAGGATACGGATGAATATATGATTAACAATCAAATATTTTTATTAAATTAAGTAACGCGTCTTATTATCGTTTAAAAGTTAAGATTGAATATTGTCGTTATGGCTCATTTGCTAAAGTTTTTAAGGTCGTGAAATTCAATCAAAAAGTCATTATATCATAACTTACCATTTTGTGTTTTCTTACAAAATGTTTGTCAAATCAATTGGTTGCAGTGTTGGTATCAAGTATGTATAGAATGTAATACAATCTAATTACAACTGACCAATCAAAATTGAATATGTAATTGTAATTAGATCGAATTGGATCCAAAAGATGAATATTCAAACTGGATAAGTCAATTATTGGATTACAGTTTAAAATACAATAAAACCAAACATATCCTATTTAATCCAATCACCGTCCAATTTTTAGGGATGATATTTTATTTTATTTTAAAAATTAGTATGTGGTATTTTGGTGTAAGTGATTTTTTTAGTGCTTTGTGCCTTTATATGTATATCTATTTATAAACTTTGTTTTTATATGAAATTGAGTTTACAGATCTGAAATTGAAGGACTCAAAGCTCTCGACATGAAGTATCAGATATCCGAGCTCTGGACCTAAGTTCAGATTCAACAGAGTTATGTTTTATAATAGTATTTAGGAACTCTAGCGTACTAGAACACATATCTTTTTTCTATTAGATTGTATCTTACCGGCATGCATCTTTAGTAGTTTCTTTGTATTATAAATAGAGTGTAGAGAATCTATTTTGTAAGTGCGTTTAAACAGTTAGTTCAGTTGATCATTGTAATATTTCTCTCTCTACACTCTCTCTATAATCATTTTGTGAATCAATGACATAATGACTACTTGTTCCCAACCCGTGTTCATTTTTTTATTGTTGTCTACATCTATTGATTAATTTAATGCATTATATCTAGTTTCCTTTTCCTATGTCATTGTAGGGTGAAAATTACAAAACTTTATTTAAATAATCTTTTCATATAAGGACAAATAAAACATAATATCAATACCTTTCCAATTCCAAAGTCAATTACTCTGCTTTTAAAATAACATATCCAAACCCAAATAGGTTTGAACTAACCAGGGTTCACATCATGCCACTTTTAAACCTTTTTATTTAAAAACAAGGTTTATTTAAAGTTTTAGGCCAAAACCTGTTATCAACTTCTCAATAACATTCAGACTACGATTTCCAATAAATATCCTGATTCTAAATCTTTAAATCACAAAGAAATAAAAATTCTGAATCACAGTAATCTTAAAGGAAATAGTAGTAAGAGTTATATCATACATCACACGTACAAATGTCACCCTTATATCCAAATGTACACCTCTCCTTGATATGCCACCCATATTTCCTCATCAAATCATTTTACAAAATATTTCTAGTTTAGAATAGACCGCAGTCATAAATGTTCTAATGGAATATCATCAGTTCAAAATTATCTTTATAAAAAATTCTCATTCTTTATCATCATAAAAGAACATTAAAATGATGATTTGTTTGAACAAACCTTTAATCAGAACACAGATCTAATTAACCTTAACAATGGACTTGACCGGACTTCATCTCCGGTCAAGTCTTGGCCGGAGTAACAATTCGGACAACACGTTAACATTTGTCCGATTTACAAATCCGGACAACGCAATAAATCTATTCAAGTTTGTCCGATTTATATACACAATATTTTCTAACACTTTTCAAATTCAATCTTCACTTAATCGGATTGCATTACTCCGCTCATAGCCTTAGTCGGTTTATGACTAAACAGAACAATATATCAATTGGATTATATTTAATCCGAACAACCTTTGGTCGTATTCCTACTTCTCCGTTCAAAACCTTTGTCCGTTTTACATAATTCAAAATCCCATTAATCTCTTTAAACCGCTCAATACTATGATCGGTTTAAAGATAAATCGGACAACACATGTCTGACTTAAAAATAGTCCGGATATTACTTGTCCAATTTAAAGTCAAGTCCATGTATTTGTTCATAACACAATCAATATGCAAATCAAAACTACTCTTTAAAAGACTTTTAATCACTCACCTTTTGAAATCCTTTTGAAATCAGATGAATCCAATTTGTTTTCCTCAACCAAAATAAGCTATCCGAACACCATTCTAAATTCTTCAAAAAGCCAGAAAACCCAACTAGGAATCCCTCAAGCCTTATATATACCCCTTTCCTAAAAAAGAAGGGCGGCTACTCATACCTCATGCATACATACATACCCATGCATACACTTTTATTATATGCATACAACTTTATTTTAATCACTATGCATGCATATAACACTTATGCATATTAAACTGATGCATACTAACATTTTTTTTAATCCTACATATTCACATTATGCATACAATCCATATACTCGCATGATCAAATATACCAATTTATCATGCTGTCATTTAAACATATAATAAA